AGTGCTTCTCTTAACCCTCCCTCTCCCTCCCTCCCCCTCCCTCCCTCCCTCCTCCTCCTCCTCCTCCTCCTCCTCCTCCTCCCCTCCTCCTCTCTCCTCCTCCTCCCATTCTCCCCACCTCGTCGACGCCTCCTCCCTGCTCCTCCCTGCTCCTTCCTCCTCCTCCTCCTCCCCTCCTCCTCCTCCTCCTCCTCGCCTCCTCTTCCTCTTCCTCTTCTCCTCCTCCTCGTCCTCCTCCTCTTCATTCTTCTCCCCCTCCTCCTCCTCCTCATCCTCCTCCTCTCTCCTCCTCCTCCTCGTCCTCGTCCTGTCTTCTCCTCTCCTCCTCCTCCTCCTCCTCCGCCTCCTCCTCCTACCTCCTCCTCCTCCGCCTCCTCCTCCTCCTCCTCCTCTTCCTCTTCCTCCTCCTCCTCCTCCTCCTCCTCCTCCTCCTCCTCGTCCTCTTTTTCCTCTTCCTCCGCACCCTCCCTACCTATTCTCTTCCCTTTCGTGCTCCTCGGCGTCTGCTCTCCTGCCCTTTTTCTTGTCCTTGCCTGGCCCGCCCCGCGGTCTGAAGGAGAGGTGCGGCGCTGCCCGCTGTCACAGGCGACCTGGTTGGCACAGTCGTGGCTGACACCACTGATTGAGAAGTGCCCCTGGCCCAAGGTGCCCCCCAGGATGCCCGGGGAGGCCCCCGCAGCCTCCAGAGCACCCCTCACGAGGCCCAGAGGGCCACAGAGGGGCTCTTAAAATGGAGCGGGAGCTGGGGGTTACCCTGGGCCAGGGGTACCTCTGAGCACCCCCCGAAGGCAGGCTCGCGCCGTGGAAGAAGTGAGGCGGGCGGTCTCGGCCGCTTGCGGCCCCTGGGGGCCCGCACCGGGCCTCGGGGGCCGTGAAGGAGCTGCTCGGCAGGAGAGACGGGCCCATGGGGGGAAGGGCTCGGGACCCCAGGGGGGTCACCCTGGACGGATCGAACAGATGTTGAGCGTCTGGCTTCAGCGGGAGGTCGGCAGCCTGTCTCCGGCGGAGGGCCGGCGAACAAATGGCACGGCGGCGGGGCCGCCGGCGGAGGGCCGGCAGGAGCCTGCGGAGGTAGAGTTTGCGCTTCCAAGGGGTGGCAAGTTTTGGGGGGTTCAACGGTTTTCGGATGTCGGCCATGCGTCCTTTGGCTTGTTCGCGCCAAGGAAGCCTCTGGAAGAGTGCTGCGTCCTCTGACGTCGTCTGCGTTCGGATGCGGCTGCTGCGACGGGCGAGGGTCCAGCGTCACCCTCGCCGGGTCCAGGCCGCACAGGTAAGGTCAGGTTACAGTCCGATCGTTGAATGCATGTATGTCTTTTTGGGGTCGATCTCTCTCTCTCTCTCTCTCTTCGTTTTGTAGTTTTTGCTGTTCTTCTTTATTTCTCCCCCTCTCTCTGCCTCCTGTACCTATTTATTCACACTCCCCAGGCAGTGCTTGTAACTACTTAGGGCCCTCAATTTTTTCTCTAAGGAGCTGGGCCTGTCTGGCGGTCTGGCGGCTCTGCTGCCGCTGTCGCCGCCTCGTCGCCGGCCAGCGTGTGGGCCTGTCCGGCGGCTCGCGGCCACGTGGCCTGCGTGGCCGGCCCGTCGCCGCCTCGTCTCCGCCCGGCGTCTGGGCGTTTGTTGGCGGTCTGGTTGCCGCCGTCGCCGCCCCGTCGCCGCCTCGTCGCCGCCCGTTGTGTGGGCCTGTCTGGCGGCTGTGTTGCCGCCGTCGCCGCCCCGTGGCGGCCTCGTGGCGTCCACGCAGGTTTCTCAGACATAATCTGCACCACATGGACCGCACAACATAGGTTCTCTCCCTTTCGCAGAGAGTACCCGGACCTCCCCCCCGGACACTTGACGGGTCACTGCTTCGTGCTGCAATTCGCATCTGAGTTTGCCCAGCCGCACGCTATATTTGAATTTGTAGGATGCCCGCCAAATCGGTAACGGTTCCCCCTGACATTCTTTGCCAACAATTGTTATGCCCGGCGCGCGTTTATAACACATCAGAAGTTTCCAGAATCATTTGTGCAAGAAACGGGACGAAGTGCACACGCGCGCGTCGTTGCACGCGCATGCAGACATTTGTCAACACCGTTAGGTCCCGTAACGATTTCAAAGCCGAAAGCCCCGAAAACATAAAAAAACATGATTTCGCAACAACAAATATAACAAGCAAAAGTGTGCGCTCGCGCTCTCGCAAATTCTGTCTGACCAAGAACATCGTTTCTCCTCAGGCTCATAAAAAAAACTTCCAAGTGGGCCCCTCGCGCGCGCATGGCGAATTCGTTCGAACGCCCTCGCGCGCGTGCTGTCGCCATAATCCTTTGCAACTGATGGGACGAACTGCACACGCGCGCGTCGTCGCGCGCGCATGTTAGAATCCTCAAGAACCTAAAATTCCGTAGAGATTTCGAAATCGAGGGCCCCGGAAACATATCAACACAAATGGTTTCGCAGCACAAGCTGTCATTCACAACTGCGCTTGCTTTTTGGCGAACTCTCACAAACCCCATATGTTTTTTTGTTCAACAATGTCATAGAAATTCTGCCAGGCGGGCCTTCCGCGCCGCATATCGACATCATTTGAACGCCCCTGCGCACGCGCTGGGGGACACGATCCGTGCCAAATACTACCATGCGGGCCACTCTCGCGCGCCAGCCGCCCGCGCATGTTGAACACCTTCCAATCATCACCGACGCGAGGACGCCGTCATCGTCGTTGGCGTGGTCAGCATCGGCGCCGTCACTGGCCGTGCCGTCGCCTTTGTTATCATCGTCGCCAGCGTCGCTACTATCATCATCGTGCCTACCGTTGTCGACATTGCCATGATACCGCGCCCGCCCAAGTGGCCCACTCGCATTGAAGTGCCCGCTGGGAAGTGTCCACCGGTCAAGGCCACCGCGGCCGCGTCGGTCGCGCCAAGGGCCAGTGCGAGATCAACATGTGAATTCCGCAACGTGTATTGCAAGTTACATATGAGTTTGCCTTATCCTTCATCCTAAATCGGAACACTTCTCATCCCAGCCAGGCCGGTGTCGCCCCCCTCTTCCCGCCAGGCCTTGCAACACAACTTATGCGCGCGCCCGCGTTCATCAGACATCATCAATTTTCAAGGACCCCTTGCAAAATAATGACGAAGTGCGCACGCGCGCGTTGTCGCGCGAGCGTGTCGAGATCTTTTAATACATTTAGTTGTCGTAAGGACTTCAAAGTCGCGTGTCTCGACACATAGAACAATACATGGTTTTGCATTTGTTCAACCGAGAATTTGTACCAGCGCTCTTGCGAATTCTAGCGGCAACGAAGACGGCGCAGCATCTGAATACGATGTTTCCAGATTGGCCTCTCGCGCGCGCGTGCCTGCGCGCGTGATATCGCAAGAATCCCTTGCAGAAAATGGGGCGAAGTGCACACGCGCGCGTCGTCGCGCGCGCACGCCAGAATCCTTGAACAAATAACCGGCTTCATAAGCAATTCAAGATCGAATGCCCCGAAAACATATAACACACACGGCTCTGCAACATCAGTTTTTGAAACATCTCGCGCTCGCGCACATGGGGCTTCTTGAAAAAAACAAATGGTTTCAAGCATGTTCATCGAATTCTGCCAAACGGGCCTCTCACGCCGCATGTCGAATTCATTCCAACGCCCTTGCGCGCGTGCTGGGGGGCAAGACCCGCGTCCAATGATACCACGCGGGCCCATCGCGCTCGTCGGCCGCGCGCATGTTGAACTCCTTCCAACCCTTTTCAATACTGACGCGAGGACATCGCCATCGTTATCGGCAGGCGTGATCAGCATCGGCACCGTCATTGGCTTTACCGTCGTCATCGCCACCATCGCCACCATCATCGCCACTCTCATCATCGCGTCTACCGGTGTCGGCGTCGCCATGGTACCGCGCCCGCCCAAGTTACCGACTCGCACTGAAGTGCCCGCTGGAAAGTGCCCAACCGCCAACACCACCGCGGCCGCGTCGGTCGCGCCAAACTAACTAGCCGGCCGCTCCGCGCGCGAGCATGCGCTGGCGAGCGCGGCCGCAGAGATGCACCAACCAACACCAAACTGTCATCGTAATCGCTTCCACATGGGTTTTGCAAGCCAAATAGCGGGTGGGTGGGTGGGATGATTGTGCGAGCAGTGAAATTGACAACTCACGGCGATCATTTGCGAATTCTAGCACATCGATCGTTCCACATCTGTTGAACCGCCTTCACTGGTCCACATGGATAGCACCACATACATTGTTCGAAACACTGTTTGGTATCCGCGCTGGCTTACATATATTGAAACACGCATTTGTAGGACCCGTCCCAGTCGTGGCAGCCCGGAGCGTAGCCGACGCGCCCTAATCGCCCCCACCCCGACCCCCCATTGACGGGGTCCACTAGCCCTTCTCGACCAGGCTGGCGCACGAGGAAGACCGAGGGGAGGAAGAACAGATGGAGGCAATGAGCACTTGGGCAGCTTGCGGCGCCCTGCCGAGGTGCCTCCGCGTCGTCGCCGCGGCCCGATGCGTTCTCCGACTCACGCGGCGACGAACCGTTCTCACCTGCTGTGGCTCGGCGGGGCGGCGCACATTAGACCACCTCCGGCACCCGCCGAGCCGTGAACCTCTGGAGGCGCCTCCCAGAGAGAGAGAGAGAGAGAGAGAGAGCGAGCGAGAGAACAACACAACAAAAATGAATATGAGAGACAGAGGGAGAAAACAAAAAAACGAACAACAAAGAAAGAGAGGCAGGGGGGAACGCTGCTCGAGGAGCAGGGAGGAAGGAGGAGGCGCCCGATGTTTGCCCCAGCGTGGCTCCCCGGCCGCGGCTCTTCGCCCCGAGGCGACTCTGCTGGCGGTCCCGGGGCTCGGCGAGGGCCCCTCCCCGGGGGGTCGCACCTGCGAGAACGCGTCCGCCCTCCCTGCCCCAGCGCGAGCATGCCACGGGAGGGAGCACGGGTTGCCCTGCCCATCGCGGGCCATCCCCCCGCCCCGGCCCCGCCCCCGCCCCGGAGCTAGGCGGCGGCGATGGCCGCCGTGGCCGCGAGCATGCCCAGCTTCGGCCTCGGCGGCCCGGGCGCGAAGGCCTGCGGACGACGACGGCGACGACGGCGACGACGGCGGCGGCGGCGGAGGCGACGACGCCGACGACGACGACGACGACGACGACGACGACGACGACGACGCCGACGCCGACGCCGACGCCGACGCCACGTCGACGACGACGGCGACATTTACGGCTGCGACGACGACGACGACGGCGATTGCCACGGGCGGCGACCAGCGCGGCGACGAGCTGCCCCGGGAGGCCCGGGCCCAGGAGGGGCCCCCGCGGGACGGGCCTCCGCCGCGGGTGGGGAGGGAAGGCGAGGCCGCGGCCAGGCTCGCGAGCCGCCGCGCGGCGGAAGGCCCACCCCCCGGCAGTTGCCCGGGGCCTCGGGGAGAGCCGCCGGCGAAGGGCCTCTTGCCCCCCTCTCCTGCCGCTCCCCCTCCCCATCCCTCCTCCTCCTACTCCGTCGTCGTCCTCCTCCTCCTTCTCCTCCTCCTCCTCCTCCTTCTCCTCTCTTCCTCCTCCTCCTCCTCGTCCTCCTCCTCCTCCTCCTCCTCCTCCTCCTCCTTCCCTCCCCCCTCCTCCTCCTCCTCGCTCCTCCCCCTCGTCCCCCTCGTCCTCCACCTCCTCCTCCTCCTCCTCCTCCTCCGCCCTTCTCCGCCTCCTCCTCCTCCTCCTCCTCCTCCTCCTTCTCCTTCTCCGCCTCCTTCTCCTCCACAATCATACACTACTCTCCGCTCTCTGCTGGCGCTGTCCGGAAAGGCTCCCGTCCTCTCCGCGTATTTTTTTCCATCTTGTCGTTTCTTGTTATTCCAAGATGGTGCTCCCGCTGCAGCGCCGCCCTCATTTCCGCGCCTCGGCCATTCAAGATCGCCCGCTGCAGCGCTGGCCTCGTTCCCGCTCCTCCGGACGGCACTTGGCATCGAACGCGCCCACATCGGGCAGGCCCGGTTGCGGAGGACGTGCAATCAGCATTCTGGACAGACCCTGTCCTCTCGCAGACCGTAGACGGGCCACTTACCCTCCAGAAGTCATTCGCGGGGGTCGTCGTAGGGGGTGGAGCACGCGTGCGCGGGGGCCGTCGTGGTCGGGGATCGGGCGGGGGGCTCTCGGGGGGTGGCTCCGGGTGTCCCTGTGGCCGATTCCCTTGGTACGCCCCCCGCGGGCTCCTTCTCAGGGCATGCGGCCACTCGGGATGCCGAGCCCGCCGTGGGGCATGCGGCCACTCGGAGCTCGGCCGTCGTGGGGGCCGTTGGGCGGGGGGTCGCGGGGGCCGTCGGGTTGGGCGGGGGGTCCTCGGGGGCCGTCGTCGAGGTCGTCGGGCAGGGGGTCAGTGGGGGGTCGTGGCGTACAGTGAGCCGAGAAGTGGCATGCAGGGACGTCGGGGCCCAGCAGTAGGTCCTCGTTGTCGGCGCGGGTGGCGCTGGCGTCGGAGGCCCAGTGGCAGGGTGGCCTGGCCATGGTGGAGACGTTGCGGGAAGGATTGTGGTTGTCATGATCGGTCTCAGGACGACAATGTCCTTGTCACAGTGTCCTCTGTCAAAGGTGACCGTGCCAATCAAAAACTGCGATGCTGCGTGCCCCAGGTGTTCTCCGTTGTTCGGGCTGCGCAGCCTAGCCGGTGGACTGCTGTGGTGAAGCAAGGAGCCTCGTGGTCGGGGCCTGGAGCCCAAGGTGGTGCCCGTAAAGTTCTCGTCCATTCTGGCCTTTGTCGCGGGCATCTCGACCGCCATGGCGCGGCGGGCGCCACGCTTAGCGTATCGCCGGCTGCGTGACCTCCCCGCCCTTGTGTCGAGGGACGGGCGGGGGGGCACGCCCCCGAGTCGGGCATCGGCTTCCTCCTCCTCCTCCTCCTCGCCTCTCTGCGGGCCTCTGGATGCCGGTTGCAGGCAAGTTGTCTCAGAACTCCGACGGTATGTTTCCTTTTCTGCAATCGGGGCGTTTCTCCTCGACGTCGGCTTCTGGGGCCCGCTATCGGGCCCAGGGGCAATCAATCGAAAACGGACCCAGGACCAAAATGACGGCCCCTGAACAAAGTCATGGGTCCGTCTTGGGGCACACGCATCGCGCCAATCGAAGCGCCCGATCTCTTGGCCCCGCGCGCGCGTTCCAGGCCGAACGACGCCAGTGCCCCCAAATCGGCCCACATCGAATGAGCCGCGCCTCGCCACAAGTCAACGCACAGCCCTGAGATGTGGCGCCGCGAGTCAAGAGCTGCAGCGTCGCACGAAGTGGCACAGCCGCAGCTCCAGTCCCGAGCTTGCTGCGCCGTCCGTACAGGCATCGATCCGCGAGGGCCCCGTGCCCCGACGCCGGGCGCGGACGCCCCGCTGAGCACACACATCTGCGACGCCAGGACCTCGGGGCAGTCGCCGCGGCGCGGAGCTGTCGCACAGGGGGCGCGGCGGCCCTCGCGCCTCGCTCCTCCTCCTCCTCCTCCTCCTCCTCCTCCTCCTCCTCCTCCTCCTCCTCCTCCGCCTCCTCCCTCCTCCTCTCCTCCTCCTCCTCCTCCTCCTCCTCCTCCTCCTCCTCCTCCTCCCCCTGCTCCTCCTCCTCCTCCTCCTCCTCCTCCTCCTCCTCCTTCTCCGCCTCGGGGCCGAGAGGGGGGGCCGCGCGGGGGCGCCCCTCCCTCCACAATAGGGTCGGCGGCCGCGAGGCCGCGGGGCGGGCCGCGCGCCGCGCACCTCTCGGGGCGGGCGACGCGCGAGAAGCCAGGGTGCGGAAGGCTCCTTCGGCAAACGGCGCGCCGGCGGCGCCGGCGGAGGCGCTCATCGGGGCTCAAGAGACGGGGGCCTGGCATCGCTCGGACGGGTGCATTTCTTTTCTCGGCGAGGACCATCCAGGACCATCCTGGACCATCGAGTAAAAAAGACACGCACGAAACCGAAACATGCACGGGAAGTGGACGTCCGAGCGATGGCGAGGGGGTCGGTGCAGACGGGGGTCAGCCAGGGCACCGGATCCTGCAGGATCCTGCGAAGACCCCCTCTCTGGCTGACCCGGGTTAGCGAGGCGCTCGTGGCCGCGAGGCGGCCGCGCACACAGTGGCCGACCCGGGTTTGCTAGGACCTGCGTTGCAGTTTTTTGTTTTCCTGCATTGCAGTTTTTGGTTTCCTGTTGACCCGGGTCTGGATTGACCCGGGTCAGAAGATCCCCGAGTTCAAGGTGGATCTCCGCACGATGGAACGACGTGGCAGCATTGAAGGGCCTGGTGACGCCACGGGGCCCGACCGCAGCGGCTCCAGGCTGGGAGACCGACACGGTGCGAAAAGCGACTCCAGGCGCGCCGGCGCCGCACGAAGCGACCGTGGGCGGCAGAAGAAAGCGGAGTGGTCTTCACCATCCTCCTCCTCCTGCTCCTGCTCCTCCTCCTCCTCCTCCCCCTCCTCCTCCTCCTCCTCCTCCTCCCTCCTCCTCCTCCTCCTCCTCCTCCTCCTCCTCCTCCTGCCGAACGAAAGCATTGGCGCGTAAGCTGCCCGCGTCAGGTCGCACGTGAGCGCCTTGGTTCCCAGTGCGGCGTGCCCCGCGGGCGGCCCGAGTGAGCCACTGCATGAGGGTCGCCTTGCCAGTCTCGCGTGGGGCCGCCTGCTTTTTGTCCTGCGGGTGGGCATCGCTCGGACGTGTGCATCTTTCCTTCGGCGAGGACCATCGAGGAGCATCCTGGATCATTTGGCGAAAAAGCCACGCACGAAACCAAACAAAAACACAGGGAATGGACGTCCGAGCGATGGCGAGGCGGGTGGCCGCGGGAAGGCTTACGGATTCGAAGCGCCGCTGTGTGGCCGAAGAGAAATTCTGCATGAGCACAAGCTGTCGGAGCTCCGTGCGGATTTCTTGGATCGGAGCCGTCGAACGGAGACGACACAGATACCCTCCTTCGGCGTACAGGGGCTCGACTAGAACGACGACCAGACCGACGACGACGAGGACGACGAACGAGGACGACAACGAACGACGACGGAAGACGGCGACGACGAGCGACGGACGATGCGAGCCCGCCAGGTTGGGCTCGATGACGACGAGAACGACGAGCTGGCGAACAGTGATGTCGACGACGACGACGACGACGGCGACCAGCCGTCGATCCTCCTCGACCCGCCTCCATCCTCCTCGCTCATCGTTCCTCGATCCTCCTCTTGGGTCCTCGATCCTCCTCGCTCATCGTTCCTCGTTCCTCTTCGACCCTCGATCGTCCCCTTCTTCCTCCTCCTCTCCTGGACCCATGAGCCTCGAGCCTCGAGTGACCTCGTCGTTGCCCTCGTTGTCGACGTCGCCGTCGACGTCGACGACGTCGGCGACGTCGGACGACGACGACGACGACGACGACGACGACGACGACGACGACCAGCGACGACCACGAACGGCGACGACGACGACGACGACGACGACGACGACGACGACGACGAGCCGCTGGCCGCCCCGCCAGGGCGGCGGGCTCCCGGGGATGCTCGGCGGGCTCTCGCTGCCCGGCCTGCCGCCCCCCGGGGCCGACCCGAAGGCCGGCCGCGGTTTGGGGCGACGCCGCCGCCGCCGCCGCCGACGACGACGGCGACGGCGGCCACCAAAACCACCAAACTGGGGCCGGACGAAAGGTCGGGGGCGGCAAAGAGGGGGGTGATGACCAGGGGGGGTGGATATCATGGCGGGGGCCATGACATTTCCCCAGGTTTCATGGCGCCTCTTCTTATTTCATCACGTCCTTGCCCCCCCGCGGGGCCGCGCACATGGCGCCGGTCATGATTTGCACCCCCCCCCTCTTGGACACTCCCTCTTGGCCGCTCCCGAAAAGGGGGGGATTGGGAAAGGGGGGGTTACGAAATTTGCTGCATGCAGCTGGTTTCGGGCCCACCGAGGGTCCCATTCCTCGATGCATAAAGTCGCCTACGGGAGGCGCGGGGAAAATCAGCTATACGTGAGCTGTTTCTCAAACCCCCCCTTTGCTATCCCCCCCTTTCGCCCGACCCGACAAACCACCCCAACCCAACCCGAAGGCCCAAATTTACCCTCGATTTCCAGTGGGGGGTGGGGGGGGGGGGGGGGCGGGGAACATTGAGAAAACACATGGGGCCCGTACCCCACCCACCCACCTGAAATTCGGGTCCAGTTTGGGTCTCCGGGTTGGGTTGGGGTGGTCTGGAAGGTCGTCAGACGACTCGGCACGAGGGAGTTTGGTGACGGGGAGGGCCTTCGAAGAAGCCCGGGGGGGGGGGGCTCTCAGAAGGCAGGGTGCCTCTTAGGAGGGCTTGGAGGCTTCCAGGTCAGAAGCCGCTTGCCTTCTTTTAGGCGCCCCTCCCCCGCCTCTCCTGGAACCCGGAGAGCTGGCGTCGCGAAGAGGTGCAGCATCGTAAGGAATCACGGCCACAGCCCTGGACCCCACGTTTCTGCGGCACCTCTTGTCGGCGGCGCGCCAACGTACGCCCACACCCAGGGGCGATGCGCGCGCCGAGAACTACAATCGGGGCGCCGAAGAAGGAACCCTTTTCGTTGGGGAGGGGCTCGGTATTCCTTATTTGTTTCGCAGCTTGCCTAAGATGTTCCTTAAGTTTCCCATGGAAAATCTAAGTTTAACTTATGGAAAAAAGGGGCCTCGTCCCTTATTAAGGGTTCCTTAGGTCAACGCCTCGACTGTATTGCAGCATGCGCTCCGTGGCGGGATCTTTTTGGCTGTACCGCTCGGGAAAGGCTGCACCACAGGACGGTCATACTGGATGTTCGGGTCGGACAAACGCTGCCGAGCAGGACACATAGTACTAGCCTATCCACGTGCGTCCCAACGGCGGCGACGACGACGAGGGCCGACCCGCAGTCGGGCGGGCTGCGAGCGGGGCCTCTGCGGTCGTCGCTCGCTGTACGTCGTCGTCGTCGCCGTTCGTCGTTTGTCGTCGCCGTTCGTGGTCGTCGCTGGTCGTCGTTGATCGTCGGCGTCGTTCTTCGCGTCATCGCTCGTCGTGGTCGTCCTCCGCGTCATCGCTCGTCGTGGTCGTGTTCGTCGTCGTCGTCGATCGTCGGCGTCGTTCGTCGTCGTCTTCGTTCGTCGTGGTCGTGCTCGTCGTCGTTTGTCGTCGACGGTTTCGTCATCGTTATCGCCGTCGTCGTTGACGCCGGGGCTTCTTCGGACGCCGCCGCCGCCCGCCGAGCGTCGATCGTCTATCGAGTTTCACCGCCTGTCATCGCTAAGGAGACGCACGTATTCCGCTACGGCTACCATGCCCTCGTCGCCGCGGACGGATTCGCCTCGAAGTCCTGGTCAGAATGCGCACTAGGACAGGTCCAGAAAGCAGCGGCATCGGTAACTTGTTGTCCCCCCAGTCGTTCGTCGATCGTCGTCGCCGTCGTCGTCGTCGTCGTCTTCGTCGTCGTCGTCGCCGTTTGCCGTCGTCGTTCGTTGTCGCCGTGTCCGTCGTCCTTCGCCGTAGAGGCCTTCGTCATCGACGTCAGGGGATTCGGAGGTATCGATGGGTCTTCTGGGGGTTCTGCCGATTGCCGTTGGCATCTAAGAGAAGGAGGGCGGGGGAGGGAGGGTGGGAGGGGAGGGAAGGATGGGACATCGGAGATGCAAATGATGATGGAAGGAGGATCGGAGAAGCAAAGGTGCGAAGGGGGACGAGAAGGATGAGAGAGAGGTGGGCGAGGAGTGGATGGGGGGTGACGGGCAGAGAAGAAGGTGAAGGGAGGCGAGGGAGAGGGGAGAGCGAGCGATAAAGCGGGGGAGAGGGGGAGGGAGGGGAAGGGAGCCTAATTATGGGCGAGGGCGGTGTGGACATGAGGAGGGGAGTAGGGATGGGAGCAGGATAATCGGGGTCGACGGTATGGAGCAGCGAGATGACAAAGAAGAGCCGAATGGTGACCAGCTAGCTTCTCCTTGTAGCTGGAGGATGGCTCGTTTACAGCATCGAGATGAAGAGCAGGTATGGGCCACAACCTGGCAGTTGCACAGTAGGGGGCAATATCTTGTGCACGGATATTTGCAGGAGGTAGTGGCATAGGGAAGAGGAGGAGAGACCAATGTGAGAAATATAGTAATGTGAAGATGAGGAGCAGGAGGTCGGTGTGCATCAAGACGAGGAGGATGAGCAGGAGGAGGAGGAGGAAAAGGAGGAGGAGGAGGTGCAGGAGGAGGAAGGCGAGGATGAGGAGGAGGAGCGGAGGAAGAGGAGGAGGAGAGGAGGAGTAGGATGAGGAGAGAGGAGGAGGAGAGGAGGGAGGAGAGGAGGAGGAGGGGGAGGAGGAGCAGGAGGGTTCGGGAGCTTGCGGCTCAGGCTGCTGCCATGGCGATGCTGGCCAAGGCCCGGCCCCCTGGCACGTCGGCACGGGCTCCAGCGCGCCAGAGCCCAACACTTCGCAGCACCACTCCGCTTTCGATCGGGCGCCGATCCCTACACACTGAGCCTGCGTGCGGGTCTGGCAGTGCAGGGCGCGCGGCGCGCCGTCGCCACCGCATCATCTCCTGTGCTTTGGAGGAGGCGGAGGAGGGGGAGGAGGAGGAGGAGGAGGAGGAGGAGGAGGAGGAGGAGGAGGAGGAGGAGGAAGAGGAGGAGGAAGAGGAGGAGGAAGACGGGAGCACCTCCCGGTGTCAAAATCGGTTGCGAAGTTAGGGGGGGACTGGCTCAGGGGAGGAACGCATCGGCCCCCAATAGCCCATTCATCGCGGAGAGGGACCCGATAGCCCGCCCCGCCAAGGACCGTTTTGGATTCGCTATCGAGGGCCTATCGATTACAGGTCGATGTTTCCCCCCTGAGCCAGCATCATTATTGACCCTCACAGAAGACCGGCCTGGCGGGCGAGTAGGAAAGCCAACGCTATTCTTCGGCGGTATTCCCCCCAAGGGCCCTATTGATATGTCAACCAAGCAGGCCTCGAACGGTCACGCGGTGCCCTGGCCTTGTGCCCCGGCGCCGGGTGCGCCTCGAAATTACGTATGTCGTAAATCTTAGCCGGGGGTGGGTGGGACATGTGGGCCCTGGGACCATCAAACATGTACCCAGGGCGCAAAAACTACACCTGGGGAATGGGTCAGGGCTTTCGTCCCGCGGATTGAACATTCATATCGGAGGATGCCTGGAATCGAGCACAGCGGGGTAAGCGACGAGCGACACCCCGAACATCGAAACATTGGCGAGGGTGGGGTGGATGTCTGCGCTTGCGATGGAAGGCGTGAGTGCCAAGTTGGTACGATGGGACGGGTCAGCCACCTGCCCCTCACCGCCACGTCCTGCCACCAGCAACACTAGCAGCCTCAATCACACTGACAACTAGCAGCATCTGCAGCACCGTAGCGGCTCCTGTGGCAACGGTACTTCCAACACAAATGTTGGCAACAGCCGCACTGTAGGCAACAAAACCAGTACACCAGCAGTACCAGCAGTATCGGCACCAATGACAGCAGCAGTCGCTGCAGGAGCACCGTTCTCAGCAGTGGCCACATGTTGTTCGTCAGCCATCCCGCCTGCCCACCTAACGCCAGCAAGTCCACCTGCCCTGGTCGTTGGGGTCGTAAAGGGGGATGCGCCCACACACAACGCTGTAGTGCATCCGCCTTTGCCTTGTTGTGTCGCCCCTCTTCCTCCCTCCTCCTCGTCCTCCTCTCTTATGTTCCTTCCCTCGTCTTCGTCCCCCCTTCCACTTCCTTGGTCGTGCCAGCCGCTCGTTGTGCGCTTCCAGAGCAGACAATCCTTGAGAGAAATTCGTCGTCGTCACGCCGACGCCCAGGCTGGGGCTGGTGGTCCGCCGGGGCTCGCGGCCATGCCCCAGGTGGTCATGCCGAAGTCGGCGATGGAGGGGAGGGGCCGGCAGGACCAGCGCATTCGACTGAAAGGCGTCAATTTTTTCTGATCGCCTGGAGCAGTCCTTGGAGCTCCCGACGCCGTGTGCGACTCTCTGATAATTCAGCCCAATCCAGAGCGGCGGAAGGGGCGGAACATGGTTTGCATCGCCTCCCGTTCTTAGGGTGGCGGCATGTCTTGAAGCAATTGAGGGCTGTGATCTTATCATTGCGGGCGGAGGGTGGCCAGGGCATTCGTTGTTGAAGGCCTTTGCAACTATTCCACTCAGGAGGAGATGGAGGAGGAGGAGGAGGAGGAGGAGGAGGAGGAGGCAGGGGTCGTTCAAGACGTTGTTGTGGCAATCTCGTGGATCGTTCTCATTTTCTCCTCGCCGTCATTATGTATGCATTCAGGGGCCCACCGTTGGCCAAGCAGGAGTTCGAATGTGCGGCACAGCCTTATTTCAGGCAATCAGTCGTACCGCTTTCGTTTTAAACCGCTTTACAACGAAGGCGAAACGAACACGCAAGACGTTGCGTTGGTCGGCCCCTGTTGAGGGGGAGAAGGGGGCGGAGGGAAGGGGGAGGACGGAGGGTGCCCTGATACGGTACCTACTCTTCCCTTCGGGGCGGCTTGGCATCGTACGAGTCGCCACCTCGGTGGGTCGAACGGCTGGCAGCTAGCCTCGGCATGCTCTTGCTCATGGCGTGATATGCCATATTGCGCACGATGGGGCCGCAGCACGGGGAAGCTTTCTATCCATATCCGGTGCGTCTTGGACGTTCTTGGGAGGGGCGCCACAAGGCCGAGGCGCGCCGCATATGGATAGACATCCAGCCTTCAGGGGCAGATTTGCATCCACATCCAGTGCGCCTCGGGTTTCTGGGGAAGGGAGCCCGAAGCTCCAATCTGCAGCCGATACGGACACAAGGTGATCGTTTTCTTATTCATTGTTTTGCCGATCGACGCAGGCCCTCGCCCCCCCCCCCCTGCCCCCGCCCCCGTGGAGTAGATCTTGACTGTTGATGGCGCTTGTCTCAAGCAGCTGGAGTCCCCCCCAATTGGATAAGTCGGGCACGTCCTCGCACAGGAGGGATATTCAAAAATAGTTAAAAACAAATGGTCTGGGGACGATTCTTCGATTATTCTTTGACCATTTTGGGTGTATTGACGATCGGACGCACTGCTGCAAACAGGCGCAGTAAGCAGAGGCCTGGAGCCAGACTCCCCCTCCCCCCACCCCCCCCCTTCTGCTCCGAAGGCGGCCGCGCAGGCGGGTCAGCGACGCCGGGGGGCAAGTGCGGGGGATCGAGTTCCCGCGAACGGTCTTCATCCTCCTCCTCCTTGTCCTCCTTCTCCTCTTACTTATCCTTCTCCTTCTCCTCCTTCTCCTCATCCTCCTCCTCATCCTCATCCCCCTTCTCCTACTTCTCCTCCTCCTCCTCGTCCTCCTCGTCCTCCTCGTCCTCCTCCTCCTCCTCCTCCTCCTCCTCCTCCTCTTCCTCC